AAATGGCAGGATAAAAGCCAGGGTTTAAGAAATAAGTGCACTATAAAGATAATAAAATTATAATAAATTAATTACAATAAAAATAGAAAAGAAAGCTGACCAGGAAAAGTAGTACCCTGAAACATTTTATATTGTTTAATGAGCTATAAATGAACTGATGACATGTTAAATTTCATNTATATTGTTTAACCAGCTGTAGATGAACTGATGACATGTTAAATTTCATACATACTTGACTTCTGCTTTCATCTAATTCTTTCTTTAACTTCTTTTTCTCGTCTTCTAAATTCATACAATAGGGTGATTTAACCTTCTGGGAAGCCTCTAACATAGATAGTTTTTTTTTGGTATCAGCCAGGTCTTGTTGAAGTTGTCTCANCCTAAAACACTCTATATTGTTTAACCAGCTGTAGATGAACTGATGACATGTTAAATTTCATACATACTTGACTTCTGCTTTCATCTAATTCTTGCTTTAACTTCTTTTTCTCATCTTCTAAATTCATACGAGAGGGTGATTCAACCTTCTGTGAAGCCTCTAACGTAGATAGTTTATTTTTGGTATCAGCCAGGTCTTGTTGAAGTTGTCTCACAATTGCCTAGTAAGATATTTCCGTTACTGGTTTTAGAAATCACATTTTAATTAAATTATGTTAATAATTATAACTTCACATACAGGATAGGGCTAAAGGTTACAGCTGTGAGTACATGAAACACAGTTAACTTTTGTATTGTTATTTACTAATTACTGCATTACTCTCCATATGAACCACTGTAAACCTACTTTTGCCCCACCCTGGATGTACTTAGAGTCACATATTGTTAACATAATATGTAACTGGGAAAATATCACCACGTACATCAATTCACCTTCTTAATCACCACGTACATCAATTCACCTTCATAATGGACAGATTCCTGTTTGCTTAATCAGGTTAAAGACACAGAAATGTAATCCTCCTGCCTAATCCGTATTAGGTTACTTAGACAGCTGATTCAGCCCCTTTCTCAAGCCCCGACCCTCTTCATGAATCTCAAAGCTTTACAATCTACTGACGTCCCAAAGAGAAAGGGGTAAGGGGTATGTAGGTGGATCAAGTGGTAGTAAGTTCAATATTGTGGAACATTTTTCTCTTTTTATTTTATTTTTTTAACCAGAGGCTTCAATGAACTTCAGAGTTCCTCACACATTCAATCCCTTGCTCAAATTCTTCCAGTAGATTCCTATCATAATAGAAAGTGAAGTCATTCCAGCGGTCTTCGAGGCCCTAGGTAACCTGGCCTTGCCCTCTCTCCCTGCTACACATAAATCCTGCCACCCGGCACTAGTCTGAAATGGAGATCCAATGCCAAATTAAGAAATCACAGACAGTTACAATTCTCCCTGTATTGGACAAACATCTCCAAATGATAGTAATTAGGCCTTGACATGAGAAACATGATCCAATCAATTGTAAAAATATTCAAAGAAAATTGTAAATAGTAGTGGAAAGATTTAATCAATTACAAATTTATTAAAACTCATCACATTTGTCCCAAATTATGATTTAATGAAAAGTAGATGCCTTTAAAAGAGCTGAGGGGTCTCATGAATATATTACTTCAGACTGAAATATTTCCAAATTTAATTCAAATTCAAAATAACATTATACCAACTAAAATGTATAAGAAGCCACTGAAGGAAAGATACTATGAGATACAGCATCTGCACTTCATCTGGAAAATCTGAAATTAAGTGTCAAGATAATCCACTTAATTGAATCTTAATTTCAAAATACTCATTTTAGGTATGAGCATTTCCATTTATCTGCTTCCTAAAGGTATTAAGATGTGGTGACAGAAAGATTAAATTATTGTATCAGTATAAGACTAAATTTTAATATCAGTCTATATCTATTAACAATCTATGGCTTAACCTCTTAAAATTCCATAGGCAACACAAAGTCTTGACTCAAAACAAAGCACCTCTCAGACCTAATGTTCAGTTGCTGGATACAATGTCTTTTAAGCTGATGGAGCAAACACATTTATAATCTATATATTTTTAATATTCAACTAGATTCACATTTAACCATCATCAAATATTACTCTGAATTTTCTTTTAGGAAATTGGAAAACTATTTATCTGTCTGGATACTTACATGTCTTTCTGCTTTATCATTTTCATACTTATATATTCTTTCTTTTAAATGATGCCATTCATTGGTTAACTCCTTCTTTTGGTCCTGTTTAGCATGAAATATTTTTCTCATCTCCTGAAGCTGATCTAGGATATTAACAACTGTCTTTTCTTCACTGTCAGCTTTGCTGTGAGCATCATCCAGCTGCTGTCGAAGCAACATATTTTCACTTTGTAGTTGACATAACTTCTCCCTTAAGGATTCCTGCTCTGCAGTGTATTTATTCACTTTACATTGTTCACTTTGATACACGTGTTCAGTTTCTGTCTTTTGGCCCTTTGTTTTGCTTAGGTCTCCTTCTGCGCCTTCTAAAATCAAGGTCCTTTCTCTGGGAGCATCTCTTGTGTGATGAAGCTCAATTTCTAGGCTACTGAACTTACTTTCAGGTTTAGAAAGTTGTTGAGAAAGAATCTCATTGCTTTTCTTAAGGTCAGACATGTCAAAATTCATTTTGTCCTGGAAACAAAACCATTCATCTCTTATTCTCTGGAAAGCAAGTTGTAGGTCTTTCTTTGATGTCTGACATTGTTCACGATCCTGTAGAGCAGTAGCCAGTCTAGGTCGGTATGATTCAACTTCTGCTTCCAGTCTTTCTCTGTTTTGTTTTTCATTCTCCAGTTCAGAGTTGAGCATTGCATTCTGAGCTGTCAGAGCCTCAAGCTGTCCATGATATTGAAATATTGTTTTTGTTAATGTTTCTTCATTCAGTTTTATTGTCTTCTGAAGATGGTCATTCTTTTCTTTGGCAATTGCAATGTCCTTCAAACATTTCTTTTCCATTTCCCGGTTCTGATTTTTTACTGCATCTATTTCCATTCTTAGAGCAGCAATTTCATCCTGCAACTTGTGAATTTCAGGCAACAGGCTTTCTTCTTTTTCATACCTATCAGAAACCTAAGTAAAACAAAGCAGACTTGTAGCTAACACTCATTGAAATGACATATCATGATAGCCTCTGAAATTAAAGAATAACCTATAAGTTTATATAAAATAAGGCTGCAATAAGTGGATATCCCTCTGGAAAAAAATAGAGTTGGATCCAACCTCTAACTTGAGACAAGCATAAATACTCCAAAGTTCAAAAATTTAATAAGATGATGAATTTTTTAAAGTGAAAAAGAAATCACAAGAGAATTTTTAAGACTCTCAGAATTGGAAAGGGCTTTGTCTGAGTCACCACAGAACGAGAATGTATTATACAAATGATTAATAACTCTACACTTAAAATTTGAGTTTACAGTCTGAACATATGGCTACCCCACAGTAAGACTGTTCATCCTGCATATATTAAGATAGACTAAATTTCCTAAAATTCTTTTTTCCCCCAAGAATATCCCATAGGTATTCTCCTTTTCTAGTACTTTCAAAGTCAGCTATAAAAACTACTTCTAATAATAACTGATAACCTAGGCTTTGTCCTAAGCACTTCTGCATCCATCAATGAACTCATTCAGTTATCACAATCTAGAATGGAGAGGTTAAAAAGATAAGCAAGTTCAGGTTCTTCCCCAGGTGTGCAGACTCCGCAGTTTCTGACCCACAGTTCTTCTCTAGTGTGAATACAGAAACACAAAAGAAGCCTCATATATCAAAGTACAAATGGTGAATAAGATAAAATTTATAGAGCTCTTCTTAGAAAAGTATGAAATTTTTTGTTGTTACAATAACTTTTATTTCTTATTTACGATGTTTAAAGTAGTAATAAATGTAAAATGGGGGGAAGTACACTGAACTACTTTACAGGAATAAAATACTTACCGATAAATTATCAGATGAACTTCTACCTCTCTTTCTCAAAGCCGGAAGCTCTGCTTTCGACATGTCCATGTTAAGCCTTTGTACATCTTGCTCTAATGCTTCAGTTTCACATCCTGTAGGTGTTCTGACACTATAGGGGTCAGAGGAACTCCATTCTTGTATTTCAGATTCCATGCCTTTATAGTTACTAGCACTGCAATGATCTGCATATAATGGCTTCTGCAACAAGTCTTGATTTGGCTTTGTTTCCTTATAAGTACTTGTAACAGCATAAGTATCATGCCTTTTTATTTGAATCATGTGGTTTTTTTCACTGTGGCTGGCAATCTGCAAATCAAGATGACTTTTTAGACCACTAGGCTGAGGTGTATGTCTGACGCCTAATTTCCTATTAGTGGTATTTGGGTTCATATTTTTTGTCATCTGCATATCAAACTCTTGGTCTTCTTTCACTTTGGATGTAACTACTGGGTTCCTTCCTTTGATATTTTCTGTATCACTACAAAAAGGCTCTTCATTTTTGTTTAAAACATGTTCAGTGTCAGGTTTGTGATCATTTTCAGAGTGTAATTTCTTTTCAGTTAAACAAAGCTCAGAAGAAGATGACCAGGGAGAGTCCTCCGGGGGCCCAGAACGTGAATGAGATGGAAACACATTTTTGAGGGTGGGTTTTTCTCCTAAAGGAAATGTCTGGAATACTTCAGAGAGAGGCATTCCAAATGAATCTTTCCCCCCACAATCAAGTATTTTATTTGTCAGATTAGAAGGCATTTGTCTTACNACTTTATTTGTCAGATTAGAAGGCATTTGCCTTACACTTGCTCCTTTTTTAGAGTTATGGAGGGGCCCTTCCTCAGGACACTCACTAGTGTCTTTTTCACAAAATTCATGACGCTTCTGCTTTAACTCATCACTGGTAAGTTGTAAATTCTTCCTCTGTTCGAATTTGCCATGTTTAACCCACATTTCCTCATGCTTTTGCACAGAGGGATGTCCTGAATATGCGGAAGTATACTCTCCGTCACATGCCCTATTTATTTCTGAGTCTTGAGACATTTTTTCCAGGTGCAAAGTTGGAAGATGAATTTGCTTGCTTTGGTTTTCTGCTATCTTTGCTGTAGGGGTATACATTTTTGAAATTACTTCATNCTTCACCCTTAAGTAATCAAGTATGGACAAAGGAAAATTAGAATATAATTAAAATTTAACTTTTAGAATTCTTAATCTATAGTTAGCTACTCCCAAATCACTGGATTATAACTGAGAAGTAAAACAATTACTGGCCTTGGTCTAAAATAAAAGAAAAACATGAACCCTCAAACTTAATTGTGCCACAATTCATTAGATGTTAAATCTATCAAAAATAAATTAGTAGCTGAATTTTAATGTTAAAAGGCTTCCTCACTTAAAATATTTCACCTCCCCATATCCTAAACAGTGAGCTCCTGTACTGCATTTCACCTCCCCATAACCTCAACAGTGGGCCCCTGCACCTCATTTCACCTAACCAANCTGCACCACATTTCACCTAACCATATCCTCAATAGTGAGCCCCTGCACTGCATTTCAGAATTTTATTAGAGCTGATCTAAGATGGAGCCAAAGGAGCTGAGAGTTACATTCACCTCCTCCCTGGACCAAACTGGAATTACTACTAAGTTACGTAACTACCAACCTGAATAAGCAACTGAAGACTAGCTGAACATTACTCTTGTAACCAAGAACTACAGAAGAACCCTCAGCTAGACTGGTAGGAAGGGCAGAGATTCAAAAGGGGCTGGCCCTGCACCCACTTGTGGTGGTTGAGAATGCTGAGGGGTATCTCAGTTGCAAAGTTTCCCCTNTCTCAACGCACACCAGGGTCCCCAGCCTTGGGCACCAGAGGTGGGAAGAGGAGCCCACATAATATCTGGCTCTGAAAGGCAGCAAGGATTCTGTTCTCCAGGAAAAAATGGGAGTCTGCTGGAAAGACAGGAGCCCTCTTAAAGGGCCAGCACACAAGTCTTATTCCAAACACTCACTCTGGGACTATGAAGAAAGGGTGTCTCACAGTGGAATGGAGTCATGTGAGGAGAAACTGTTTGAATGGCTCTGGGAAGAGAGCTGAAGGTATGACCTCTGGGTCCCTTCCCTCTGCTGAGCCTTTATCCCACAATGCCCACAGATGCCATCATTCCTGGGTCAAGCACTCCCTTCGTTACAGCATCAACCTGGGGAATCTACTAGCCCCACTGTCCTGACTCCCTGTTCTCTACCCTATGGAGCAACACACTACAAAGGAGTCAGCTGCCTGGGCCTATTGTGTAGACTTCATGGAGGTCTCTTGAGGTGGTCTGGTGGACTGAAGGGGTGTCAGAGGCTAAGTTGTGTAACTTTAGGGTGGGGGCCATTTTTCCCTTGCAGGTCTAAGGCCACAATTCCAATGAAGAGCCNGGTCTAACTAAGGCCACCATTCCAATGAAGAGCCCTCCATTCACACAGCCAAATCTTGGCCTTCTGGGGCCTGATGAATTCTGCTGGCTTTTACTCTAATGATTCCCTGAGGCCCCACCCAACCCAACCACAAAGGTCCACGGATACCCCGTGGGTGGTAGCTGGCATTGGTGTATCCTGGAACTTTTGCTGAGTAGCCTCACACTCAGTAATGAAACTGACTTTGAATCTGTATCAATCTGGTGAACACCACTCTCACCTACATGATGACTCACTTACCTCATGCAACTCACATACCAACAGGAGCTTTTTCAGTGACTGACTCCAACAGAAAGCTAGTAGGGAGAGGTGGATCTCAGGGTGACTTGGGCTTTTTGCTCACCTGCCCCACAGGCTTGGTGCTGGTGGAAGGAGGCGTTGGTGTGCAGCTTGGCCCCTCCTAGGCACACCCAGGCACAGCAGAGTCAGTCACAAACCCTGATTGCTTTGTAACTCCACACAGGTTGCCCAAGGGAAATCACTGGCAGAACCTGACTTGCACCAGAGTCCCTCCCAAGAGGGCCAAGTACCAATACATGTGGTGGGGGGCTTCAGAGCATGATCCAATTAGCTCCATGAAAGCGACGCCCAAAGATTTCTGCAGGCACCAGACCATGTTGGCGGAAATAACTCAACATGGCATCAGCTTTCACACTGCAACACAGTGCATACCGTGGTCAGCCAGCCTGAGAAACAACCCCATCCATGAACAGGCCAATATCAATCAAGACTCTACAAAAGGCNAACAGGCCATTAACAATCAAGACTCTACAAAAGGAGGGCTCACATAACACACACAAGTGACTTTCCTGGAGCACCTAGCTCAGGTGATCAGAAAGATTGTGCCACTGAGCCTCACAAGACACTTAATACATAAGGTTATTATACCAAGGCTGGGGGGCATACCCCATACAAAGAAACAAATACAAGGAGGCAGCCAAAATGGGGAAACAAAGAAACATGCCCCAAATGAAAGAACAAGAAAAATCCACCAAAAAAGAACTAAATGAAATGGAGGCAAGATATGCACCAGATACAGAGTTCAAGAACATGGTTACAAAGATAGTCAAGGAACATAGTGAGAACTTCAATAAAGAAATAGCAAGTATAGCCTGGGCCAGTGTGGTTCAGAGGTTGAGCATCGACCTATGGTCCAGGAGATTGTGGTTCAATTCCCAGTCAGTGTACATGCCCAGCTTTCGAGCTTGATCCTCAGTGGGGGTCATGCAGGAGGCAGCAGATCAATGATTCTCTCATCATTGATGTTTCTCGCTCTCTCTCTCTCTTCCTCTCTCTGAAACAGAGACGTGTTTAAAAAAAGAGACAGCAAGTATAAAAAAGGACAAAGACATCATATAAAAGAAGCAGTAAGAAATGAAGAATACACTAGAAGGAATGAACAGAAGATTAGATGAAAAATGGAATAGAATCATTGATTTAGAAGACAAGGTAGCAGGAAACACCCAATTAGAGCAACAAATAATAAATTAATTAATTGAAAAAATTTTTTAAAAATGAGGCTAGTTTAACAGACTTCTGGGACAACACAAGCATAGCAATATCAACATTATAGGGGTACCAGAAGGAGAAGAGAGAGAGCAAACAATTGAGATCCTATATGAATAAATAATGACTGAAAACGTTCCTGACCTGGTGAGGAAGAAAGACACACAAGTGCAGGATGCAAAGAGAGTCCCAAGCAAGATGAACACAAAAAGGCTCATACTAAGACACTTCAAATTAAAATGGCTAAGTTTAAAGACAAAGAGAAAATCTTAAAAGCAGCAAGAGGAAAACAGATAGCTACCTACAAGGGAGCCCACATAAGACTGTCTGATGCTTTCTCAACAGAAACATTTCAGGTTGGTAGGTATTGGCACAAAATATTCAAAGTAATGAAAAACAAGGACCTACAACTAAGACTACTCTACCCAGCAAGGCTATCATTTAAAATTGAAGGAGAAAAAAAGAGCTTCCCAGGTAAGCTAAAGGAGTTCATCACCAACAGACCAGTATTAGAGGAAATATTAAAGGGACTTTTATACAAAGAATATGAAAAACGGAGGGGACATAATTATAAAGAATAAAATAAGAATAAGGGTGTACCTATCAATAATCACTTTAAATGTAAATGGCTTCAATGCTCCAATCAAAAGACATGGAGTAGATGAATGGATAAGAAAACAAGATCCTGTCTGGCTGGGCTTGGCTCAGCGGTTGAGCATTGACCTAGGATCCAGGAGATCACAGTTCACTTCCTGGTCAGGGCACATGCCCAGGTTGTGGGCTCGGTCCCCAGCTGGGGGTGTGCAGGAGACAGCCATTCAATGACTCTCTAATCATTGATTTTCTATCTCTCTCTCTCCCTCTCCCTTCCTCTCTGAAATCAATAGATATATTTTTAAAAAAGAAAAAAGATCCCTACCTTTGCTGTCTACAATACACCCACCTCAGCNAAAACAAAAACAAAAACAAAAACAAAATCAAAACTGCAGGGTATACATTTTTTTCAAGTGCACATAAAACAGTTTCCAGGATAGACCACATGTTAGACCATAAAACAAGCCTCAATAAATTTAAAAAGATTGAAATCATTTCACACATCTTCTCCAACCACAATGGTACGAAACTAGAAATCAATTGCAAAACAAAAACAAAAACAAAAACAAAACACCACACAAACACATAAAGGCTAAATGACATGTTACTAAACAGTGAATGGGTTAACAATGAGATCAAGAAAGAAATCAAAAGATATCTTGAGACAAATGAAATGATAACAGACCACCCAAAAATCTATGGGACACAGTAAAAGCAGTCCTAAGAGGGAAATTCATAGCAATACAGGTTTACCTCAAGAAACAAGAAACCTCAAATTAACAATGCAAACTTTCACCAGAATACGTGTTTTAAATGAGCCCATCAGATTGTTTTAAAATGTGTAACATGACCTTAATTTGATCGACTGATTGATTGTTGTTATGACAGTATTCTATCTTTAGTGAGTCAAGTTCACCAAACATAAAGTTAACAATTTTAAAGTGAAAAATGTAGTAGCATTTGCTACATTTACAATGTTGTACAATGATCATCTCTATCTAGTTTGAAAACTTTTCATCACTCCACAAGGAAACCCCATTCCGATGAAACAATAGCTCCCCAATCCCCCTATTGCAGTTTCGGGCAACCATTTGTCTGATTTCTGTCTCCATAGATTCACTTATTGTAGAAATTGCATGTAAAAGGAATCACGCAATAAAACAGACAAATTTTCTGCTTTGGCTGGTGTGGCTCGGTTAGTTGGACC